CCGGGCGGGAGGCGGCGGCGGGGCCAGGGACGACTCACCGCGAGCTCGGCCGCCGGCCTGCAGTGCGCGCGGGGCTGCCGGGAGCGGCGGTGCCGGGGAACGGCCTGGCTGCGCCGCCGGTCGCGAATGCGGATCTGAAACCGGGGGAGGGCACAGGCGCTCGGCGCCCGCCGCCGCGTGCTCGCCGCCCGGGCCCCGCGGGGTTCAGACCGCGCACCCGGCGGCGGGGACCGCGCGGCCCTCCCCGAGGATGGCGAGGGCCAGGAAGCTGGGCTCGGCCCGTGAGCGGCCTCAATAAATAAATAATTTAATTAAATTATAGATAGAAAAAAGAAGCCACCGGAGTGGCCGCGAACTCACGCCTTCTTGGAGACGCGCCAGCGCCAGAAATAGCCCCGGCTCGGAGTCCCAATTAGAGGAGCGCAGCCCCGGCTCAGGGGAGCTTAAAAAGAGCGACCCAGGGGCAGGGGGACGGGCCCGCCCGCGCCAGCCGTGTCACGGGGGGCGGGGACATGCAAATGAGCCCGGGGATTTAAAAGGGCGCCCGCCCGCCTGCCGCGCGGGTGGGTGCTCTCCGTGGGAGGGGTGTGCGAGCCCCGCGAGGGGAGCCCGGCTGCCCGCCCACTCCCCACGGTTCCGCGCGGAGGGGACGCAGGGAGGCCCGTGGGCGAATCGAGGAGGAGCTTCTCGTGCAGGCGGGGGTGTCCTTCCTGCCTGGCTCGGGTGCGGGACGCTCGCCTCCGGGGGCCTTCCGGGCGCGTGGGCCTGGCCCCCCGTGGGGCGGTGGAGTGGGCGGCGCTCGGGCTGCGGGGGGTCCGCGCGGGCGGGGGGTGGAGAGGAGTGCGCTCGCTGGAGCGTTCTGCGGCCTACTGGCCGCCCCTTTCCGCCCGGATCGACGGCTCGTAGATTTCCCCGGGGCGGACAGGTGTCAGCATGTGCGTCCCAGCGTCAGCCCGCTGGTGGCTGGCTGGTGAAATGCAAGTCTTGTGAAATGCAAACGTGAAACTTGGGAAATCTGAAGTGTGTCAGTGCCTCCGCGGCCCCCAGCCAGCCGTCACCGAGGTGCAGCCTTCAGCAGCACACGATTGGCCCGTTCGCAGGTACACCGGAGGGCGGAGTCGCTCCTTCAGGTGGCCTGGGAGGTGGCTGGGGACCCGCGGTCCTGCCCGCGCCCGGCCCCTCCGTGCGGACTTTACGGAAACTCAGGCTAGGCCAGACGTCGGCTGGAAGCGCTTGGAGGGCAGGGGCAGGGCGTGCGCACGCCGTGTCCCTCGCAGGCCCGGCCAACAAAGACTTGTTGCGCGGGCCGAGGAGGAAGCCCGGTGGAAGATGGCGGGAGCGGGGCGCACTTCCCCGCGCCCGGTCCCCGAGGCGGCCCTCCACACCTCCTGTGATGCAGGGAATCGCAATGCGGCCCAGTGACACGGCCGTGACTCATGTTTTTCTCTGCTCCCCTTTTTCCTCCCGGGTCCGCCGAGGGCCCGGCCCGGCCCCCCTCCTCTCCCGGGGTCGCGCGGCGGGGGAGGGGGCGCCAGGCGAAGCCCCGCGCGCGGGCGGGCCGGGCCTCCAAGTTTCAGGAATGCCTCAGGAATGTTTCCGGTGGGGGCGGGGCGCGCGGGCAGCGGCCCAGCCCCCACCGGGCAGAGGCTGGCGCTCGGGGCGCGGGGCAGCACGTGCTCGCGGTGGGGGCGGGGCGCGGGCGGGAAGGCGCGGGCCGGCCCGGGGGGTTGGGTCGGGGCGGCCTCCTGCGCGCCCAGGTGCGGCGCGGTGCCCCAGGAGTCCCCGGGCCGCCCCAGGAGGGGAGAGGAAGTCCCCGATGGGCCGCCGGAGGGGAGGGGAGGCGAGGCCGGGGCGCGGGGCCGGGCAGGGCGCGGAGGAGGGGCGCTGCCCCTTTGTCTGCAGCCGGGTGGGGTGGGGGTGGGGCGGGGTGGAAGCGCGCGGTTCCCTCCGTCTTTGTGCCCCGCCGCCGAGCGCGCGCGTAGTAGGCCACGAGCAGAGGGGACGGGCGGCTACCGAGTTGCGAGCCCCGGGCCCTCGGCGGCGAGGAGTGGGGCGGCAAATCTTCCGCTCCCGCCGCCCAACCCCTGTCCCGGGTCTCAGGTCCCGGTCCGGCCCGGGCTGCCCCCCTTCGACGGAGCCCTGCTCAGGGCCACCGAGCTGCTAGGCCCGGTCACGATCCTGCAGCCTCTTCCCTCTCCCGGGACTCGGCGTCCCCGTGTACCTCGGGGCCCTGTCCGCAGGAAAGGAGGAAGGTGGAACGGAGAGCCCAGTGGGCCTTGGGAAACTTGACCAACTTTTTAAAAAATCCCATTTCTAGTGAGCCGAGTTGATCTTGTTTTTTTCGCACTCTGACTTTCCCCTCGCCCTGATTTCCTCACCGACTTGTTTTTTAAAGTTTGCATTGTGTGTATTTCTGTACGCCACTTCAAACCTGCGCTGGAGGGAGGCAGGGCAGGTATAAATAAATCGGTAGGCAAGTAAGTACAGTGGGGGCGGGCAGCGACTGCCGACCCTGCCGGGTTCCACGCCCTGGAAATCCAAAGGGCTCTACCGCTGACCCCCACCTGCATGCTTTCTGAATTGCAAATGCCCTGAATTTGCTTTCTTTCCTTTCCAGTATTAGGCAGAGAGTTCTGGAGGGATAAAAACATGAATGAGTCCTAGCAAACTGTCATGTCTGGAGAAGTCAGGACCTGAATACACCCCAGCAAGCTGAGTAAGGATCGAGGCGCTGCCACGAGGCAGCAAATATTTCATTCATTCCTCATCAAGAGCCTGCTTTGCACCGGGAGCTAGGCCAGACTCTTCGGGTACAGTCAGCAGAGTTCCTTGCACTTTGGGAAGTTGGCCCCGGGCGTGGGGCCTGGAGGTGTCAGGTGCTGAAAGTAGAAAGTACTAGGAGTGGGGCCCCTGGAGACAGGCTGGAGCAGGGACGTGGAGGTCCGGGTTTGCAGTACAGGGCCTGCGGGGGCCGGTTTGGAAGCCGGGACCTGGGCCTGGCTGAGTCTGGAGCAGTGGGTGCCACCAGAACCGTCTTCCCCACAGGAAGCAGCTTCTGATGCCAGAGTTGGCCGGTGAGCCTCAGAGAGCCCAGGGGTGTGCAGGGAGCAAGGAGGAGTCAGTCGGCTCCATCTCAGGGAGCTGCTTCTCAAGCCTGGGTTTTAGGATATGCGGAACGGTGGGTGAGTGGCCCCGAGGACAGGGCCGGCTGGTTGGGTGGCGGGAAGGCCTGTGGTTTGTGTTCCACAGGACGAGGAAGTAGATGGGAGAAGCAGGCTGGGAGCCGTGCAGCCTGTCGTTCAAACCAGGGTTCTCTGGGCTGGGGATTTAGCTCAGTGATGTCACCACCTGCCTCGAAAATACAAGGTGAATTTGATCCTGAATTCGATCCCCAGTACCATAAAAAAACACACACACACACACCAGGGTTCTCTTCCAGCTGAGCCTTGGGATGTGACTCGTGGTAGAAACCTTTCCTAGCCCTTGCTCTGGGAGGCCCTGGATTCGATCTGTAGCCCACAGTAGGATCTACAAAAAGAAGGCCTGCAGCCTCACTGTGTAGACATGTCCCACTTCCTTCCTCGCCCACATACACGTGGGGTCAGCTGCACCCTGCCCCCTGCCCCCTGCCCTGGTGGCTGCAGCGTTGGCTCTGGCCACAGAGCTGCACAGTGCACTGTGCATCGAGTAAGATTCGGGCCGGGGCTGAGGAGCGATGCCGTGTGCACTGTCTAGTGTCTGCCACAGTGAGTGGGTGTGTGGATTCCTGTTGGGGCCACGCCTGGGCAGTGGGAACAGGACAGAGCAGCGTGCTCAGATCTGGCAGAGGAGCAGGACATTAGGAGTACAAGGCCCACTATTAATAGTTGTGAGCTGATAACCGGCGTAGACCTAACTGACCTGGTGTGTGACCACCCTCCACCTGGTCACCAGCTGCCAGTGCCTCTGGTCATCTGGCAGGACCGGGCCTGCAGACCCTGCTGACCACAGCCTCTGCTGCCAGGAGGCCTGGCAGCCTGGACTGGGAGGAGGCCCTCTTCTGGTTCCAGCTTTCGAGGGAAAAACTCCAGTGAAAACTAGGGCCAGGAGCCTCCCGCTGTGAGCCAGTTCCCACCCTGGGGGCCTGGGGCTCTGTGGGCTTTTGAAGCTGTCTTCAGGGCTGGGCCTTCAGGAAAGTGCAGCTCTTGCAGCCTCAGGAGAGACCCAGTTGGAAAGGCTACTGAGTGTACTCACCCACCTGGCAGGCCAGCCGAGCCCCCCGTTTTTACAGTGCGGACGCCGTGTCCAGGCCGCTCCCCTGGGAATCTGCCTCCATCCCCACCACCACCTTTGCACCCACACTGAGCAGGTGGCTGCCTCCCCAGCCTGGCCTCACCGATCCCGATGGTCCTGGGGACCTGGAGAGGCACTGAGGCCGTGGCTGAGAACAGGATGGCCACACTCCCGCCACAGGTGGCGGAGGACACGTGTGCTGGTGTGGCCTGTGCTGTGACAGGCTGGGGAAGCACAGGACAGGGACCCGGCAGGGCGGGGACATGGGGACAGCCCCCGCCTGGGCTAGGGTGGCGTGCCATGTGACAGCCTTGGCTGGCTAGCATGCAGCAGCATCTGGCCCCCTCTGAAGCTGCCATTTGGGAGCCGAATTAAATCTCAACCAGAAACAGTGAACCTTGAAGGGAAGCAGCAGGGAGAGGTTGCTGCCTGTCGGTGGGTTTGTGTGTCTGGGCACAGGGTGGTGCCACTGGGACACAAGCCAGCAGTTCCGTCCTTATCTGCCTTCCAGGAGGCCCCACCGGGAGCTGACTCCTCCAGTCCCAGCAGCCCCATGAAGGCCTAATTCCCAGTGCTGAGCCTCTGGGACTGAAATGTGAGGCATGTTTCTCCTCTACTCAGAGCCCTCAGGGTTCCTACTTCCCAAGGCCTTGCAGTCTGTCTCTTCCTGCCCCTCTCCTGCAGGTTGCTCTCTCTGCTTCAGCCTCAGGCCTGAACTCAGCCCAGGCCCTTTGCACTTGCTGTCCAGGCTGCCTGACAAGCTCTTTCTCAGCTGTCCTTGGGGGTGCCTTTCCCTCTACCTCAGGGCTCTGTGCAGTGTCAAGCTGTCTACACTCTTTAAAACTGGTTGTCTCTCCGAAGAGCCCCCATCCACTTTACCATGCTTTATTTTGTTTCCCGTGACAGTGGTTCCTCACATACTATATCCGTCGTTATTTAACCAGTATCAGTAACAGCTGATGTGATGTGTGTGGTGTTTTCTGTCCAGGCTCTCCACCAGAATGCTGGCTCCTTTGGCCCAGAGAATTTTACCTTCTGGGTTTTCTGAGATATCCTCGGGCCTGAGCAATGTTCAGACTCAGAAAAGATTAGCCAAGTGGCTGCTGTTATCCACGAGGCCCGGCCCGGGGTGGAAGAGGGCTGGGAACTCGGCCTGAGACGGTGAGATTCCCGCCTTCCAGAGACTGTTCTCTGTGTGGCCAGGTTAGCACCTCTGCGCTGTCTGCATGTGCCCTCCTGCCTCTGGATTTGACTTTTATTCATTTATTTATTTTATTTTTTGGTACAGGGGATCGAACTTGGGACCTTGCACTTGCGAGGCAGGCAGTGAAACCACTGAGCTAAATCCCCGGCCCTGATTTTTATTTATGTATTTTTGAGACAGGGTCTCACTATGTACCCCAGCCAGGCCTTGAATTTGTGGTGATCCTCCTACCTCAGCCTCCCGAGTGCTGAGATCATAGGTGTGTGGCTCCCACGCTGTTTAATTTCATAGTTGGCCACAGGGGAGCCCCTTTGAGGGGTGGCGGGACGGGTGATGAGAACCTGGGTGGGCTCTGCTCACTACCATGCGGTGGAGCGGGCAGAGGGTAAGGCTTGCCGGCAGATGGGACAGTTTCCCTTGGGGCTAAGTGCTCTCGAGACAGTGTCCCACCCAGAGTTCCTCACCGGTCTCTCCCACGCACAACAGCTGCAAACGAGCCCTCTTGGAAGCATTAGGGCAGCCTGCGAGAGTGTGACCTCATTGTCGGGGTGCTGGCTTGAGACCGGGCTGGGTTCACCTTCCAGGCACAGCCTTTGAGGTGCAGGTGCGGCTTCTATAACTGGGCACCGGCGACCTGATCTGGGAACAGCTCGGCAGTTCCCGGGGTTCTCCACGGGCGTGCAGGTTCTGGGCTGTTTCCTGAGGGTTCCTAAGCCGAGTGCCCGAGTATCCGGAGGCGCTTAGGAACCGAGTAGCTGTGGTGGCTGCCCCGGGCCTGCAGCCCCTCTCACCCAGGGTTTGGTGAGTTCTGGCCCAGCCGCTCCTGCTCCTGCCCCCCCCAGGGGGTGCGTGCACGGGGAGGGCCCCTGAACCCTTACCCCAACCTTCCCGGGAATGCGGGAATGGCAGGAGGGCAGCTGCCGGCCCGGCCCGAAGCACATGGGTCCCCCAGGGCCGCAGTCCCCCAAGCTCCAAGCTGGGCCCTAGTCAGTAGTCGTGCAGACCCCGGGCTGGAGATCTGTGGACCCTTCAGAGCTGTGCCTCGGGTACCTGACACGGCCCCAGGGCGCAGGGCGATGAATGGGAGCAGGGCTGGGGGAGGGGCAGGCGACGGCGAAGGGCAGGCATCGTGGGCGCCCCTGCCCCAGCCACCGAGTCCCCAGGGCCGTCCCTAACCCAACTGGGGGTTCGGCTGGGGCCCGGGAGGCCCTCCGAGGCCCTGGTCGCCACTTGAGCGGGGCGGCCAGCCTCTATTTTGTTACTTTCTGGGAGCCTAGGCCCTGTGGGCCCCGGGCTGGGACTGCACGCGCGGTGTGGGCAGCGTGGCGTGGTGGCGTGCAGCACCCTGCCCGCCCTGTCTCAGCTCTGTGGGACAAGTGTGGCGGCTCAGGGCCCAGGGACAGTGGAGAGCCGGGCAGAGGAGCCCCGGGCTGCCCTGCTGGGGCAGTGCCAGGCAGGAGCAGCTGACACCGGGACTCTGGGTCACCTTTCAGCGTGTCCTGCCAGTTCCCAGGCTGGATGAGGAGCTGGGGTGGTCTGCAGCCCGGGCTGGCCCAGCCCTGCCCCTTTGTCTGGTTTTTCTGGGCTGTTCCCATCCCCCACCTGCAGCCCGCTCGGCCTCGCTCCTTGTGGATCCTGTGTCCCCAGTGTTTGTAGGGACGGGGTATAAGGGTGGCCCCAGGCCCTCCACGACAGCTGCTCGCTGAGACCCCTCCCGTACCCCTGCTTCCCGGGATCTCCCCAGTTCCCCTATGGCCCTTGCCCAGCGGCTGGAGGGCGGGGTGGATGCCCGGACTTTCTCCCAGTGCCCAGCTGGCCTGACACCCCACCCCTGCAAGCGTGGGTCATTTAAGCAAGCGGCTTGGGCCTGGAAATCCACCCTGCCTTCTTCGGAGCGCAGAGACCTACTGTGTGCCCAGCCCTACTGTGAGAAGGGGGGCGGCGCTGGGCTGGGCCTCCAGCGCCCTGGAGTGTGGGCCGGGAGGACATCACTCCGCATGTGCCCAGGCTCGCCGGAGGCTGCCCGCGCTTCCTGGAGGCGCAGACCTGGCTCTGGCCTGGCCTGGCCCAGTGGCAGATCCCGGTCCCCCACCTGCTCTTATCCCTGATGTCCCGGCCCTTTGCAGCACTAAGCCTGTGCTGCCCATGAAAAGTGAGGACCTCCCAGGCTCCAGTGAAAATGGGAGCAAACACATCCTTAGCAGGGCATGGTGGTGCCTGCCTCTCATCTCAGTACCCGGGAGGCTGAGGCAGGAGGGTCGCTGCAAGTCCAAGGCCAGCCTGGACAAGGTAGCCAGACCCTGGCATTCCCTCCCCCACAAAAAAGCATCCCTATCCTGGTGGGTCGGGAGACATCAGGGGTTCTTGAGCATTGCTCCTGTGTTGAAATGTTAAGATTTGGATATGTTGCATTTAATCAAATCTATTATTAAAGTTAATTAAATGTGTTTTTGTTTTTACATTTTAATGTGGCTACTCATATAGGTAAGATAAACTTCAGCCTTACACTCAGCGGCTTCTGTTCTGTTTGTGGTGGCCTGAGCTAGTCTGGGTCGTGGGCTTGTTCCTGTGCCCTCAAGGTGGTGATCCCGTCCACCGGGCGGTGTGCTCCCCTGTCGGGTTGAGCCGTGCCGAGCCCGGGTTCAGGGCATCTCTGTCGGGGATGGAATCGACAGGGACCTCCCAGGAAGTGGGCTGGGTCCGCGGATCCCGGAAGCCGGCGCTAAGCAGGAGCAGGGTGAGAGGAGGTGCTGCGGGGACTCCGCGCGTCCGTCCGTCAGGGGCTGGCGCGAGGTCACCGTGTCCGAGGCAGGCGCGTCCCGGTCACTTTCTCTTTCCCTGGAGTCCCTTCCGCGGGGACTTCCCTCCCTGACTCACGCTGCGCACTGGTGACTCAGGCCTGCGCGCGCCAGCCGCTCCACCCCGGACGCCGGACGCCGGGCCGAGGGGGCGCGGACTGAGAGCAGAGCTGGGCGCCCTGCAGGGGGGCGGCGCTGGGGGCACCAGGTACCAGGCAAAAGAGCTGCAGAGAAATGAGCTTTGGGAGGCTGAGGGGAAGATCCGCCGGGGACAGGGCCTAGAGGAGTCTGCCTGGTGTGGTGGCGCATGCATATGATCCCAGCACTCGGGAGGGAGGGAGGGAGGCTGAGCCAGGAAGATCTTGGCTTGAGCTACATAGCCAGACCTTGTCTCCAAAGAAGACCCACACACGCGAAGTCAGAGAGACCAGGAGCCTGGCAGGAGCAGAGGTGGCGTGGCCGGGCTCAGAGAGGCACAGTGTCCTTGGAAGAGTGGGGCTGGGTCTGTCCTAAGGCCTGCGACAGGGGGTCACGGATGGGCCCCATGCAGGATGTGTTGGGCGCACCCACACCGACCTGCAGCCACGCAGGGGGCCCCCAAGGCCCCAGCCCCCGGGTCCACTCCACGTCCTGCCCGGCCCTGGCTGCAGGGGGGTGGGCACCGAGTGGGCGCCTGGTCAGTGCTCAGCACTGCTGCCCGCTGCTCCCCGAGGACGGCAGGCAGAGTGGTGGCCGGGATGCCATGGCCAGGCCGGTGCTGAGAGTCTGCTAGGCAGGAGCCGGGAGCTCAGCCTTCGCCAGTGGCCCATGGATGGAGCGGCTTCCTGCGGGTCCTGGGCCAGGCGGAGGCAGCGAGGAGTAACTGTGCTGACCGAGGACCTGGAGGAGCCTTCGCACACCCAGGCCCTCCCGATGCTCCTGCGCACAGAGGGGCTCGGTGACTTTTCTGAGGCCACACAATAAAGCTGGACTGGAACACGGCCAGTCTGGTTCAAATCTGCCTCTCCTTTTTATGTTTTGGCAATACCAGGGATTGAACCCAGGGCCGCAGGGTGCCAGGCAAGCGCTCTAGCGCTGAGCTACACCAAGAGCTCTTTTTTTGGTTTAGCTTTTTGAGACACAGTCTCACTCTATAGCCCAGGCTGGCCTTGAACTCATGGCAATCCTCCTGCCTCAGCCTCCTGAGTGCTGGGATTACAGGCATGTGTCACCATGCCCTGTTCCAACAGCTCTTAAATAAAATTTTTAAACTGGATGTCCTGGCATATGCCTCTAGTCCCAGTACCTAGGAGGCTGAGACAGGAGGATCACCATGAGTTCCTGGCCAGCCTGGGCTACGTGTCCAGACCCTGTCAAAAAAAAAAAAAAATTGGGGCCAGGGATTTAGCTCAGTGGTTCTGCCGCCTGCCTTGCAAGTGTAAGGTACCGAGTTCGATCCCCGGTACTCCCCCCCCCCAAAAAAAGAGTAAATGGAAGCCAGGTTTGGGGCCACACGCCTGTGATCCCAGCACGCCGGAAGCTGAGGCAAGAGGATCGCTAGGAGTTTGAGGCCAGCCTGGGCTACATAGTGAGACCTTGCCTCAAAACAGACAACAAAAAGAAAGCAATGTAAATGTCCAGCCTCAGAGAGTTAATGAAATAAATGCAGCAAACTAGGCTATGAGGTTTTCTAGCCTTTAAACGAGTCTGCTCAGAGTGACACTGTCAGAAATGTGAAATGCCTACAACTCTGACAACTAATGTTTTGGGAGGTGATTTGAGACAGGGTCTCACTATATAGCCTGGGTTGGCCTTGAACTCCCAGAGATCCTCCTGCCTAAGCCTCCCGAGTGCTGGGATCACAGATGGGCACTACCACCCAGCCTACTCTGCCAGCTAAGAACTGGGTTTCACTGCAGCCACAGTACCTAAATTCAACCAAGCACATTTCTATATTTAACATTGAACAATGGGAAACTGAAATGAAAAAGACTACTATTTATAATCATTTCAAAAAGGAAAAACTTGAATGTAGCAAAACCTAGGCGACATACACAGGATGTTCTAACACAACACGCACAGGGTGTGCAAAGTGCTGGGGAAGGGGACCTTCGGGCTCAGGGCACCCCCGGCCAGGTCGGGGCGGGCGTAGTGAGACCCCGACCCTTCACACGGAGCAGCCCAGGGCAGTGGAGAGACAGCAGCCATGGGCCTGGAGGCCACAAGTCCCAATCCAAATGCAAGCGGGGCTGGGCACTGGGAAGCCCAGGGAGGGCCTTTTCTGCCCCTCCACCTCCGGGGCCTTGCCCGCCAAAGGGCAGTCTCTGTTATCTTTTATTTTTCCTTTCTGAAACAGGGCCTCACTGTGTAGCACAGCTGGCCTTGGACCCACGGTGATCCTCCTGCCTCAGCCTCCTGAGTGCTGGGGTAACTCGAGCGCCACCAGGCCGGCCCATCTCCTCCTGAAGGGGCCTCCGGTGGGGGTGCAAGGCCTGCCTCGCTCCACCAGGACCTGGTCCTCGGCTCTAACTAGGGTGGTCTTGTGAGGGGTCGGGGTCAGGACTGTAACGTCCGTATTGGGGGGACACCAGGCAGCTCTTGAATGACCTCCGCAGTCCACACAACTCCTGTTGGAAGCCCCGAGGGAAGTTTTTGTAGATGTAGACAAACTCACTCTAACAACTTAGCTGGAGGAATTGTGCTGCCTGATTTTAGGGTTCATTGTGCAGCCACGGACCTCAGAAGGGAAGACTACAATATGGGCTGATGGAGGTCGCTCCTGCCCACACTCCCGGCGGTGGAGCCTGAGCCAAGAGGATCTCAAGTGAGTTCAAGTTCTTGGCCAGATCCTGTCTCAAAATAAAAAGGGCCAGGGATGTAGCTCATTGTGAAGGCCCTGGTTCAATACTCAAGACTCCAAAAATAAATAAAACAAGGAGAGCCAGGCGTGGTAGTGCTCACCTGTGATCCCAGGCAGGACTCAGGAGGCTGAGGCAGGAAGATCGCTTCAAACTTGAGGCCAGCCTAGACTACATAGCGAGATGCTGTCTCAAAAAACCAAAATAAATAAATAGACAAAACACCCCCGCTAAATTTCAAACATTATACTAAAGTTAACTTGAAGAGAACCACAGATCTAAATGTGAAACTTAGAACTATTACATGTGCTGAAAAATCCTAGATCCTGTTTACTGCAGGTCCCAGGCTGCTTGCCCTCTTTTTAAAAAAAATTTCAATAAAAATATAAAGGAAGTGCTGGGTGTGGTGGCACACACCTGTAATCCTGGCACTGGGGAGGCTGAGGCAGGAGAATTGCTGTGAGTTTGAGGCCAGCCTGGACTACATACATAGTGAGATCCTGTCCCAAACAAACAAAAAAGGAACTTTGGGTACTGATAGACAGTGACTGTATGATCTATTTTATGTGCAGCCCAGGAGAATTCCTCTTCATTCATTGTGGCCCAGGCAGCCAAGAGGTTGAGGCTGGCCTGAGCCCCAGCCTTGGAGAGAGGTGCTCACGACCCAGCGCTAGGGTGCTAGGGTGTGTGGGGAGGGGCCTGGAGACTGAGCCTAGGACCTTGATGTTGAGCTGTATCCCCAGCATTTTTCATTTAAAAACATTTTTAAAAATATTTTATTGCTGGCCGGGGATTTAGCTCAATGGTTTCACTGCCTGCTGTGCAAGCGCAGGGACCCGAGTTCGATCCCCAGTACCCCCCAAAAAAAAAAATTTTATTGCTTTCTTGTTCCTCAATGCTCAGTGTTTCTGAAGAATAGCAATAAGATGTCTAAAATTCACATTATTAAAATGCATTGTGGAAAAAGCCCTCAAACCTTAAGTAATCCAAGCTCTATCTGTCAGAACTAACAGGGTAGCAGCTCCTGGATTCATCCCGGTTCAAAGTGAGAATTGCTATCTGCTGACCCAGGGGACAGGAAGGGTCTCAAATGCCAACCAACCCTCTAGGCACTGGGGAGCACCCTGTCTCCCTTTGCGATCACAGCCTTTTTCATTATTTATTTATTTATTTTTGGCCCCCAGGAGTGAACTCAGGCCTTTTGCTTGTGAGCCAGGTGGCAGCATCACTGAGCTAAATCCCCGGCCCTTTCACTTTTTATTTTTATTTATGTATGTGTTTATTTTGGAGACAGGGTCTTGCTGTGTAGTCCAGGCTGGCCTTGAACTCACAGCAATCTTCCTGCCTCAGCCTCCTGAGGCACATTTCATCTTTTTTGTGCGTGTGTGGTACTGGGATTGAACCCAGGTCCTTCACACTGAGCCATATCCCCAGCCCTTTTGTTATTCTTTATTTTCAGACAGAGTCTTGCTGAGTCACCAGGCTGGTCTCAAATTTATGGCCCTTCTGCCTCAGCCTCCCAGAGTGCTCGGATTATAGGTGCACCGCCACACCTACCCCATCCTGGTTTTCAGTTGGAGACATCATCACAAAAGTGTATGCTTATGGGGAAATGGCCTCTTTTATCCATTCAAGGCTCAGAACCTGAGATGAAGAAAAAGGATAATTTTTCTGGATTCCAAAAATTGGGCCAGGAAAGAATTTTTCTCCTTGAAACATGAGGTTACTCTTAGTTACTCAATTTTCCTTTTTTGTTTATTTCCAGTGTTGGGGATGGAACCCAGGGCTTCACATACGTACAAGGCCCTGTGTTGATCCCAGCACAGCCAAAAAAGCCCAAACAAGATACAATCATCAACATTCAACTATTCCTAGCTGGGCATGGGGTGCACCTGTAACCCCAGCACTCAGGAGGCTGAGGCAGGAGGATCACTGTGAGTTCGAGGCCCACCTGTACCCCGTAGAGAGACCTTATCTCAAAAAAAAAAAAAAAAAGGAAACGAAAGGAATAAACAAGCAGTCCTCAAGCCCTGTTTCCTGGCCCTGGGAGGCGCTGAGCCTGTCTGCCCCTGCTGTCCTTCCTGGGGACGCCGACCCCTCCCCGTTTTAGCTGGACATGTGGTGTTGGCCCTCAGAGTGGGCTCTGGCCTTGCCCCCTGGCTGAACATGGTCACTGGAGAGAGAGAACTGCTTTTTCCTATAGTGGGGATTGAACTCAGGGCCTTTGCACTGAGTTGCATCTCCAGCTCTTTTTTATTTTGGGACAGGGTCGCTGAGTTAGCCAGATTGGGCTCCAACTTGCAATCCTTCTGCTTCAGCCTCCCAGGGTGTTGGGATTCCAGGAACATGTCTCCGAGTCTGTACAATTATTAATTAATTTATTTATATTTAATTGAGACAGGGTCTCACTACATAGTTCATGCTGGCCTTGAACTCTCTGTGTAGCCCAGGTTAGCCTCGAACTCTTGGTGATCCTTCCGCCTCAGCCTCCTGAGTGCTGGGATTACAGGTGAGCATCAGGCTGCCTGGCCTATTCCTTTATAACAGCTAGAAGATGATGTGATGGCTGGAGTGCCTACAGCTATTTTAGGCTGTGAGGAAACCCTGGCAGATGCAAGCCTCCAGGAGAGCCGGCCCCAGGCCCACCACAGCCCTGATGCAGAGAACTGGCTGGGGCGGCCGTGGGGTTGGGGCTTCTCCGCCCAGGGCCATGGGGCTGCAGGGGCATCCGAGGGCACCGGTCCCCAGCTTCGGGTGGTGACCGAGGTGTGAGTGCAGCCTCTCTGGTGCCTGGGTGCTCGGGCTGAAACTTCCAGTCTGACCTGGAGGGTTGGGGTGACTGAGCCTCTGCGTCCAGGGCCCTTGCTCCCGCTGCTCTGTGCCCAAACCCCTCATTCGACCCTGCTCAGCCAGGGACCTGCAGCCCGGACCCCATCTGGCCTGTGCCCAGCAAGCCCCAGGAGGAGACATGGCTCCAACAGTGTGGAAAGTCATGCTTTCTGTCACAGGTGGCCAGAGGTGAGGGATTCCAATGCTGGTTAACTGGGTGGCTTAAAAGCATCATCAAGGACCAAGGTTATTTTCAGGCTTCATTCCCCACTTTGCCAAGGGATCAGCCATGTTCTTCCTCATCGTCACAAGATGGCTGCCTAGCACCCAGGGTTGAGCCTGGATCTGACAGAATACAGCAGAAGAGGAAGGAAAGAAGCTGCCAATGATTTATCCTCATATCTTAGTGCTCATAGTTATGCCACTGCTCAGTCACAGTTACTTCTCCAGGGCTCTCATATTTCTTTTTTTAAAAATTAATTTAGGGGAAAAAAATTAATTTAGGGGTCTCATATTTCTGTGTATCTTAGGACCAGAGACATGATCTGCCTTATGTTCCAGACTATATTGCCCAGGCTGGTAACAGTCAGATTTGTGATCCTCCTGCCTCGGTCTCCAGAGTACTGGGATCACAGGTATGCACCACCACACCTGGCTCAGACTGTGTTTTCAAGGAAATTTTTAGAGAAAACAGTCTTGGAAAAAGGCTGGGGATGTAGCTCAGTGCAACGGCCCTAGGTTCACTCTCTCACACTACAAAAGGAACAAAAAAGACCAAAGCTAGAACAGCTGCCCCTCTCCCATTATCCTTCAAAATTTTTTTTCCATTTTTGTTTTTTAGAAAGAGAACCCCTATGGGGTGTGCTGGCCCACACCTGCAATCCCAGGATTCAAGAGGCTGAGGCGGGAGGATCACTGTGAGTTTGAGGCCAGCCTGGGCTACATAGCTAGACCTTGTCTCAAAAACAAAACAAAGCAAAAATTGGTCAAAGACTGTTTTTTATTTTGATGTGGAAACTTTCTCCCTCATGAAGCAACAGATACTCAAACACTTAGGAAAAGCCTTAAACATAAGAAAAAGAGCCGGGGATTTAGCTCAGTGGTTTCGCCGCCTGCTGTGAAAGCGCAAGGACCCAAGTTCGATCTCTGGTACAAAAAAAAAAGTTAAAAGCCCATTTCTCAATAAATCCTGGAAATGACGCTCATGTCAATGTCGTCTCTTCGGGATTCGTTCAGAAGCTTTCAAACATCTCCCAGATGAAGAATTTACGGATATAGGAACTCCAAGCGGTGACGTTAAGGGGCACCTCCAGTGTTTGTTTCAGGCCCACTGCTGGTTTGTGTTTCAAGACAGGGTCTCACTATATAGCTCAGGCTGGCCTCGAACTTGCAGTGACCTTCCTGCCTCAGCTTCCTGAGCACTGGGTTTGCAGGCGTGCGCCACCATGCTGGGCTCAGACCCACTGTTTCGGGGCGGGATGTGGGGAACGGGCCCTTGGGACACCGTGTCCCGGGGGTCGGGGCCCTTGCCATCCCTCCTGGGGGGCTGCACAGCCGGGAACTTGGCATGTCAGTGTGGAAGTTGCACGTAGGTCATTAAAAGTCACGGGCAACCGAAGCTGCGGCCAGAGGCGGAGGGATCCGAGGGCAGGCTGGCGGTGCATCGCATTGTTTTCCTGCGTGACCCCGAGGACACCTCCCGGGGCCGGCCCTGCCCGGGTTCACCCGGAGGCCCTGAGCCAGGTGGTCTCAGGCCTGTATCAGCGTGCTTGTCCCATACAGCCAGAAGGCCCTCAGTGCGTGTTTGTTGAATGAATACACGTGGACTCAACAAGAAAGTGACAGCTGCCGCAATCTCTAGCACATCTGGAATCTGGAACGTGACACGCATGCCACCACACCCAAGGTCACCACCGCCTCTCACAGCCTCCGAGGTTCCTGCTCTCGAACACGTCCCTCTCCCAGAGCTCCGTGATGCTGCTGTCTACCCTGGGGGCCTTTCAGGGAGAGCAGCTCGCACCCCTTCTCTGGGTGCCTGAGCCCGGCAGGAATGCACCAGACATCTTATTTCATGTTTTCCATTCTTTCCTTTCTGTGGAGACAGGTCTCGCTGTGTAGCCCGGCTGGCCTCGAACTCCCTGCAATCCTCCTGGCTCAGCCTCCCTAGTGCTGGGATTCCAGGCCTTCGCCACCACGCCTGGCCCTAGGGTTTCTAATCGTCAGGCCCGCTCTCTGGGCAAGGACAGCCGGGTGACTCGCCCCGGGGTGAAACAGCCCGAACGGTGGCACGGGCGAGCTCCAGCGCCAAAGCTCCTGCTGGGTGGGTGGCGGAGCCCGGGTGGGGGTGGGGCTGTCCCGGCGACCCGGGGGTCGGGGCTGCGCCTGGTGCGGGGGGGGCCCGGGGCCAAGCGGAGGAGGCCAGGCCGGCGCGTCCTCAGCTCCGCCCGCCCTGCGCCGGCCCCGGGACACGGCAGGGGACGCACGGCCCGGCCCGGTTCCGAGAGGCCCCGGATGCGCCTGCTCGGCCTCGCCTGGTGCAGGCTCTGGCGCCACCGCGTGGTCGCAGCCGGAGTAGCGGGAGGGTTGGGGCTCCCTGGCTGGGGCTGGGGGGCTGTGCCGCGGGAGGAGGACGCCCCAGCCCTTTCCGGACGGCCTCCGCGGCCGGGGGACCCAGGCCCTGATGACCAAGGCCAGATGGCCACAGCCGGCCGTCACTCCCGCCAGGTGCAGGGGGCCCGCGAGTGACTGGGCTGGCCCTTGTCTCTGCAGTGCCTTGGGCGCCACCCGCCAGCTCGGTGGCCCCGCGACACCTCCAGGCCAGGAGCCTGATGAAGGTGCCCAGGGCCCCCGGGGCCTCCAGCCACAGAGCCAAGCTGCTCTCAGGCTCTGCCGGGCTGGCCCTGGGAGGAGCCGGGAGGCTCTCGGTCAGCAGGCCAAAGGCCCAGGCCTCAGCTTGCATGGCACAGCTGGCCGGTGTGGCCTCCTGGTGTGGCTCCTCCTATGACCTCCCGGTGTGACCTCCCGTGTGACCTCTGTGATCTCCCGGTGTGGCCTCTGTGTGACCTCCCTATGACCTCCACGACCTCCCAGTGTGACCTCCCATGTGACCTCGGTGACCTCCCGGGGTGTGGACTCCCGTGTGGCCCCTGCTGTGGTCCCCCATCCTTTTGGGTGTCACAGGAAGCAGCCCCGAGCTGTTAGATGTGCCCAGCTGTGTCTCGGAACGCTGAAGAAAAGACTTGAATGTATTTACCAGAATCGTATGAAAATTTACCCAGATCCCTGTTCAATTTGTTTGAGCTCAAGAAGGGCAAATACCACAGGCACAGGTGTGGGGGCAGACTCCCAACTTCCTGCAGAGGATGTAGCTCTCCTGGGTTTCAGTTAGGTTGGGGAGAAAGGACAGCGCCTGTAGAAGCCTTAACGGGGTGGCTGGGGGGCTTTAGCCTCAGCACGCGGGGCAGGCAGGCGGCGCCTCAGCCTCTGGAATGGTGGGCACGTCAGATTTGTGGGCCAAAGGTACCTGGCTTCCTTTTCCTCACACAAACATTTTAAACACAAATCAGGATTGTCTCTCAGGGCAAGGAAAGTCTTGAAAATAGAGGACCTCAGGCCATCTGCCCTTTCACCTGCAGCAGCGCTAGAGCTGGTCAGTACCTCACTGACTTCACTGACTCCATTCCTTTTCTTCCAGGGGTGGTCAGGCCATGCATGGGGCAGAGAAGATGGAGCAGCTCTTCTTTTCGGTTTGCGGATCAAAAAATTCCCAGGGTCGAGGACAGTAAAGGATTTTGAAGATGACGTCAAGTTTCCCATTCTGAAAACAGCAAGGGGAGAGAAGCTGTCATGGCAGGTGGTTGGACCGGACTGTCTGCTTTCACCAGGGTGTGTGTGTGCATCCGTTCCCTTTGTCAGTGTTGTTCCCTTGGTTTAAATTTAAAAGTTTGACTAAATTGTCTGTCTTTGAAAGTGAAACTTGAGGCCGGGGCGTGGTGGTGCACGCCTGTAATCCCAGCACTTGGGAACCTGAGGCAGGAGGATCTCTATGCGTTTGAGGCTAGCCTGGGGTACATAGCGAGACCCTGTCTAAAAAAAGCTCCTGGAGACAAGGGAGCTCAGTAAACAATTAAAAGGTTTTAAACAATGGTGTTTTTCTAACTTCTTTCAGAGAAAGGAGAAAGTTTTAAGGAGGGTATATTACTATTTATTTTTATTGGTACATTTTAGATATACATAATGATTACATGCATCATAGGGCATCTATACCTGTACGTGATATATCTTGCTTCTTTTTTCCCTATTCCTCCCCTCCCTTCAACCCCTCTTCCCCTCCTTATTTTTTTCTTCCCCTCCTTATTTACAACTTTCTAATAACAACTACCTCTGCAAAGAGCAGGCTTCCAGGGCCAGTCTCACTGCCTCAGGCCTGCCCCCGCCCAGCATCCCAGCGCCCTCCTGGAATAATTGCATTACCTTTGACTTCCGATCCAGTCCTGAGCCTCCCAGTTTTCAGGAAATCTTCAGGAGCAAGCAGCCTATTCCCAGAAGGATTCTCTTTCCTGACTCTGGATCTTTGGTTGTGCCCCAGCCGTGGGCGGCAAGCCAATCAGTAGCTCACATGCCCTCTGGAAGGAAGCATGCAGTAGGGCCCAAAGCCACCAAAGATGGAGGAACTTTGACAGGGCCGCCAGTGGGGACAGATTCATACTTTGGCCTAAGTACACAGTAAATCCCATTCAGATGTGAAGCGGACTAAAGTTGGGGACTTCCTCACAAAAGACGAGATGACCCATCAAAGATATCCATATAGAAAAAGGGTCAAAAGTCTCCTATTCCTTTAAGCCGGGGTGTGGTGGCACGTGCCTGTAATCCCAGCACTTGGGAGGCTGAGGCAGGAGGATTGCTTTGAGTTCGAGGCCAGCCTGGGCTACACAGTGAGTTCAGAGCCAGCCTGAGCTACAAAGGGAGACCCTGCCTCAAAAAAAAAGAAAAAAAAAAGTCTCCTATTCCTTTAAATCATACCTGCTGGCAAGGGAACAACAACAAAAATCTGTGACAGGCTGGTGCCACAAACGGTGAATGAGATCGATTGTGCGTAGTGTGTGTGTAACAAGTCTTACACATTGCAAGTAGCATTTCATGAGGAACAGGCAGTAACAGACGGGCCGCATCATGATGTAGCAGCACCTCACTGTGAAATGTAAAGTTCCGAGTGGGGTCCTCCCTCCTCCTAGGGATCCCGAATGAGCCCCCGAGGATGTCACAGGAAGCAGCCGAGCTGTTAGCCGTGCCGAGTTGTGTCTCAGGATGCTGAACGATGGAGTTGAGGACAGAGAGGAGGAAGGTTTTATTAAGAGACAGCCCCAGGGGCCCTGGAGGTGGGGCGATGGGAGGCTCTGTTCCAGGTTATACAGTGAGTCATTCTGCAGGCTTCCTTGGTGACTGCAGTCAGAACCAGGCTAACCTGGGTCTCCTGGCACAGTGCTGCCAGGGACATAGCAGGAGGCACAGAGGCAGTTCTGGGAGGGTGGGACGGAGGGCGGAGCACCTGCGAGTCTCTCTCTGACAGTTCCAGCACAGCTCTGAGCTACCCTTCGCCTCCGGGAGGCTCACAGGCCTGGCCGTGGCGTCTCCATCTTGGGGCCTTGTTTCTGTCAACTCTGCCCTCCCACGGGCCTGGTATGTCTGTCTTGGGCCTGGTCCCTTTAACTGCCAGCCAGTCTGCACCTAACTTAGTTATCTGTAACACTGGCACACTCTTCTCTTTTCTTCCTTTTGATACAGGGTCTTGCTATGAAATTCAGGCTGGCCTTGAACTCATAGGATCCTCTTGCCTCAGCCTCCTGAGTGCTGGGATTACAGGCATAGACCACCACGCCCAGTATCTTTACTCTTTATTTTCTTCCTTCACCAAGGCTGTATTGGTTAATGTTCTCTAGAGGAACAGAATCAGCAGGAAACAGATGTGTAATCAGGCACGGGGATTGATAGGGTAGGTTACAGAGGTTATAGGATCTGAGGCAGGAGAGTCCATAAGGCTGTCTGTGCACTGAGAGCTGGAGGACCCAGGAGCTGCTCAGCTGCAGAACCAGCGGGATTAAAGATGCAGCACCAAGCCGGGGATTTAGCTCAGTGGTTCTGCCGTCTGCCTTACAAGCGCAAGGTCCCGAGTTCAGCCCCGGTACCAAAAAAAAAAAAGCAGCACCAGTCTGAGGTCGAAGGTCTGGAGCCCACTGGAGTTTCCAGTGTGAGTCTGTATGGAAGGCTGAAGAATCTGGAGACCGACGTTCAGCGCAGGGCAGCAAAGGACACACGCGCTCAAAATGACTGGATCTTTAAAAATGCTCGAACTTCCTTCTTTCCCTTTTTATTTCATCCATCTTACAAGTCCATTGGCTGGTGCTGCCCACAGCCCAGTGGGGCTTCCTGTTTGTTGGCCCATGTGTCAGTCACCCACAGACACGCCCAGAACTGTGCTTCACCCAGTCGCTACGGAGCTATTAATCCTGTCAGGTTGACATAGGATCGATAGTCAAAAACCAGCCCCTGTCAACTTGACAACCATCTCCTTAAACCATATGGACCTCCAGGTCCAATAGTAAGTTCATAATTATGTTTCTCAGAGTACAATTCTCCAGTGTACATACGGAAACACACTAATTCCCCTCCCCAGAATGGAAGGCAGAGTTTTCCTTTGGGTGATATTTTTCCTGAGATTTGATAACTTAACTATTATTGAATGAAGATTTCACAATACTTGAGTACCAATATTAAGGTAATCAACATTACAAAGAAGATGTTACAAAGAAAACAAAGATACTTGCTTATGTGTCTATGTTCACATGCATATTAACAAAATAGGAAAGAAATATTCATGACAATTACAATCCTCATTTCTTTTTTTTTTTTTTTTTTTTGAGTCAGAGCCTTGCTATGTAGTTCAGACTGACCTTGAGCTCACGATGTAGCCCAGGTTGGGCTCGAACTCATGGCGATCCTCCTGCCTCAGCCTCCTGAGTCCAGAGATTACAGGCCTGGGCCACCACGCCCAGCTCACAATCCTCACTTCTGTAACTGCTCCTGAGGTGTTTACGACTACCTTTTACTCTGATTCTGTATTTCCCGGCCTTCCGCAAGCACGTTGGCAGGTCTCGTTCGTTCGTCCCCTGCAGCGATGACCCATATCTTTCTTCACTTCCAGAGGTCCTGGGCCTTGTCATTGACCCGGTCGGGTCACTGTAGCGTCCTGTGACCTAGATAACAGGGCACGGTAGTACTAGGAGGCGCCAAGGGATCCTGCACTCGGAAGTGAGAGCGGAGACACTGGCCTCCTGAGACAGCTTCTCGGTCTTTGCCAGGACTCCCGACTAGCTCAGGGCTGCTTCCCTGTGGCGAAGGGCGGTGGGTCGCACAACCTGCTGCTCTGGCCCTGGCCGCCTGTGCGCCGGTCCCCTCTCTGGCTGCCTCAGCGACAGGCACAGTCCCGTGCTCGTCAGGATTTCGCTGTCCTCGTTCCTGGCGACACCATGCTAGAAGCAGAAAGGCCCTTTTATCCTTTCATAATCTCCTTTTCTATGTAAACCATCCAGCGTGACTTCTGCTGCTGGTGCTAAGGACGAATATTAAGAGTGATCTTCCCCTGGTGGCATCCTGGCCACTTAGTCTACCCAGATCTACCCACTGCCCGCTCCAGAGAGCGAGCCCCGCACTTGGAGGACTTCCGTTCCGGCCAGCCTGACCACGTGACTGGAAAGCCGCCCGTCGGCCCACGTGACCCCTCGGACCAATCAGAGCCTTTTCCTAAAAGGGATTGTCTGATTCAGGGCCGGAAGAGCCTCTTCCTCTCCGGCAGCCTAAAGTGAGCTCGTTTAGGAAGTGAAGCTGGAAAGCGGAGAGATGAAGGAAGGCGGGAGAGCGGCAGGGCTGCGCAGTGCCTGCGTTGTCCTTTGGTCTGTGTGAACCAGACGCCTCCCTCGCATCTCAGGCTTTCTTTTTCACTCCCAGCGCCTCTTGCCCGGCCAGCACCTGCTCCACCACCGAGTTGGCGCCCAGCTGAGCTCCTCCGCCTTTTGCAGTGTTCTTTCTTAGAGGGGAGATGACAGATGGTCACTGTTCTGTCTTCTGCCGTTCTGCGTTTTGAAATGTTTTATCTTCTATGTATTTTTTAGAATAAAAAAAGTATTATTAAAAACCCTGGCTTCATTTCTCTGGTGAAGGAAACACCCTAACTGGCTTTTGTGACATGAGATCAGCACACGCTGGCGACTGCGAGGACCCAGCTGCGTGTCCATCCTGCTGGTGCTGAGACTCGAACCTGCCCATGGAGGACAGCCTGGGCTGTGCCATGCCCTGCGGTGGTGAGGGCATTGGCCATGGCTTTGGAGCCCTGTGGCCCACTCTGCCCTGCTGCTTCTCTCTGGGCGATGATCTCTCTCTCTCTCTCTGTCTCTGCCTCTCTCTCTCATTTTTTATTTTTTTTATTTTTGGTACCAGGGATCAAACTCAGGTCCTTGTGCTTGCGAGGCAGGCGCCGGAACCACTGAGCTAAATCCCCGGCCCTCATTTTTTATTTTGAGACAGGGTCTTACTAAGCTGCTCAAGGTAGGCTCAAACTCTCTAGTGTCCTGCTTCCAGCAGCTGGGTGACAGGAGTGCCCCGCAGTGCCCAGGGTGCTGCATCAGTCAACTTGCTGTTCCCAGAGCCTGGCACTGAACCAGCGAGAAATGTATTTGACTAGCTACATGTGGTGGCCCACACCTGCAATCCCAGCACTAGGAGGCTGAGGCAGGGGGGTTGAAAGTTTGAGCCCAGTCTGGACAGTTTAACAAGCTTCTCAAAATTGGCAAGGAGCTATCTCAAAATTAAAAATACAAAAATCTGGGGATGTAGCACAGTGTGAAGGCTTTGGGTTCAATCCCTAGTACTGAAAAAAAAGTGTTATTTATTTGGGGTCCGGCTCCTGCCCTGGCTGACCCTAGTCATTTCCCTTTCTGTTGGGGATGCCCGAGGCCCCCTGAACAGCAGGAGTGGGGTGCACAAAGCCGGTGGCCAGCGGAGAGAGCCACAGGAGCCGCTTCCCAAGGGCTGAGCCAGATGTGTTCCCCGCACTTCCTGCCGCACAGCTCTCTCTTTGTCGTGTTTTCCTTATCCTTCCTTTTCTTTCTTTTTCTTTTTAAATTTTTATTTATTTATTTGTTAATTGAGGCCGGGTCTTGCTATGTCTTGCAAGCTGGCCTTGAACTCACAGCGATCTTCCTGCCTCAGCCTCCCAAGCGCTGGGATTATAGGCGTGTGCCAGCACGCCTGGTTTCTTTCTTTTCTTTTCAATACTGTGGATTGAACCCTAACCCTTTGCCCTGAACCTCATCCCCAGCCCGTTTATTTTTTCTTATTTTAAAATGGTGTTTCAAAGGCAGCCTTGGGAGGCCTGTTTCGTCACCAGTAACTGGGTGATATTTCCCCAGACGGGCTGCTGCTGGGGGTAGGCAATGTATGGAGTCAGGCCCTGGGCCTGGGACACAGGAGGTGCTTAGTAGGTGCCGGGTTCCCCTTCCCACTCCTTGCTGCAGCCTGGACAGCTCCATGAAGGTTCCCAGGCCCTGTGTGAGGGAAGAGAGGGCAGGAGGGGAAGACCCAGGCAGGGAGAAGCCACCAAAGAGGTGTCAGAGGCAGGGGTGCTGGCACACGCCTATAGTCCCAGTATCTGAGAGGCTGAGGCGGGAGGATCACCAGGAATTCAAGGCCAGCTTGGGCTACACTATGAGTTCAAGGCCAGGTTGAGGCCGGAGATTTAGCTCAGTGGTTCCCACGCTTGCCTTGCAACCACCAGGTCCTGAGTTTGACGCCCCGTACAGAAAAAAAAAAGAGCCAAGGTCATGTTGAATTGTGAAGGGAGATCCTAGCTCAAAAACAAAAACAAAAATAAATCACGTGCTGGGGGGCCCTCTGCTGGCCAGTGGTGGTTAAGGCCCGAGCCGAACCGGTAAAGTCCGCCAGTCTGGCCAACCGGGCCAGATGAGATGCAGAGCCCAGCTGTCACCTTGGTGTCCCATGTCCCTGGGTGGGGGAGCGGGACATCAGTAGCCGCCTGTGTGTATCTGGTGCGGGCGGGGAGCGTGGACGCCGTGTCACCCTGGCCTCCAGTGCCTGCGGGGGCGGCACCCAGCGAGGCCAGGCTTCGTCTCCCGACAGCTGCTCTCCGGGTCTGAGTCCCCCGCGGGCAGGCGAGTGGCCCTGCCTGACTGGGGTCACACCCGCCGCTTGCCTTCTCCTGAGGGCCCACGGAGACCCATGCCGGTGTCACTGCTGCGGCCCGGGCTCAGCCCTGCAGCACCTCGCTGGGTGCACCTGGAGCCTCCCTGCCACCCCACCGGGCCTGACCCCCACAGCCCGATTTGTCCTTGCAGAGTGCCCGCCCCCAGCGCGGGGCCATCTCCTTCCTTCTCCAAGTTCCCCGAGAGATCGAGGCCCCTGCTGTGGGAGGCAGGCGGCTCCTCTGCCGGTTCCCGCTGGGTCCTCGCCCGGCGGCTTCCTGGCTGCACCCCAGGCTGTGCCTGGCGCATCCCTTCTGGCCCGCCCTGCCGAGGACAGCGTGTGTTCGGATCCCGCCCTGCTCTGGTCGCAGCAGCACGGTCGGCCCCAGCCCGGGGTTGCAGGCGGTTGGTTGGGGAGGAGGCGCCTGGCCCGTGGAGCCCCGTGGGAAGTCGTTCAGCCCAGTGGGAACTCCCGTGGGGATTTAGGAACTGGGGTCCGGGTGCCCAGGCCGGCCCCTTCTTACCAGGGGCAGCAGGAGTCAGAGGGGCCAGAGGCCTGGGGGCGCGGAGCCAGCAGGTTCTCTCCCGGAGCTGGGAGGCTGCAGAGGACGCAGAGGGCAGGGACAACTGGGACTCGGGCCTGCAGCGTCCACTGCTGCACAGGTGGAAGAATAGCGCCATGCACGCTCTTACTCCTTCACCTAGTGCACCACATTTGGTGCCACGTGTGCTTGCGCGAACACACTCACACATGCACGCCTGCGCACACATGCTCTTGTTTGTCTTTTATAATCTTTTGAGTCAGGGTCTCGCTGTGTAGCCCAGGCTGGGCTCGAACTCACAGCGATCCTCCTGCCTCAGCCTCCCGAGTGCTGAGATTACAGGTGTGCACCACCACGCTAGTAGGAAGTTCCACTTCTGAAACATTCTTCCGGGAGGGTCGGCCCGCTCGGCTCTGCACTGTTCCCGACCCCAGTGCTGCGAGGACAAGATGATAGGAAAAGCGCCCCGGGGATAACGAGGCATGTTAGTGACACCGTGTCTCTGCAGCACGGGGCTTCTGCTTGCCTGGGCAAGGGGTCCAGAGGTCCTCTGTCCCCGCCCTGAGCTCTGGGGGGCAGGTCACGCTCAGGCCAGAGCCCCCCATGTGCACCCGGGTCGCTGGGTCGTGCGCTTGTGCTCGGTGCAGTCTTCTTGCAGGCGGGGAAGGCCAGCGTCCGCGGCCCCGCCTGTCCCTGCGCCCCCCCCCCCGCGTCCCCTCAACCCCCGCTGCCTCTTGCAGGTGCGCTGGGCCCCTCCCGCCGTGAGCAGGTTGAGCGGCGCGAGAGCGAGGCCGCCTCGTGTAGTGAGGGCATTTGGCCACCAGGTGGCGCTGTCGGCCCATGGTGGGGAGCACCCGGCTCCTGCGAGGCGATCTGGGGGCTCGGGGGACCTTCCGTCCTGAGGGGCCGAGGAAGGGGCCTCGAGGGCAGTGCAGGTGCCGGCAGAGAGCCGGGTGTGCAGCTCGCGTTCCCCCACCCCGCCCCTGTGCAGGCTGACCGTGACCCGGACGCCTGGGATTCTGGACCCTGAGACTAGGCCCTGAGTTTGAGGCGGGTTTGGGGTGAGGACCCAGGGCTGGGGAGGAAGGCGGTGGAGGCCTGGGCCTGGCTAGAGGGCAGGGAGCCGGCCGGGAGGGAGTGGGACCTGCATGTTCCTGCTTGCTGGGCATCACCTGCCCTGCCCAGGGAGGAAACTGAGGCAGGGAGGGCAGGGTTGCTGTGGCTCCCAGCAGGGCCTCCAGAAGAGAGCGCTGGCACCTGAGGTTGGGGAGGTGCAGGCCCAGGGCCGGCCCCTGTCTGACAGCAGCCCCAAGGGTCCACCTGGGCTGGGCCTGGCACTGGCTCCCAGGAGCACACAGGGTCCTGCTTTTTGGAGGCAGAATCATGACAAGTAGCCCAGGCTGGCCCCAGACCTGCAGTCCTCCTGCCTCAGCCTCCTGAGTAGCTGGGAATACAGGGGGGCACCACCTGCCTGGCACACATGGTGTCTCTCTTGCCCCTGGGGCTGCACTCTCCAGCCTCAGGTCCGCGGTTGTCCTGCCTGCCATCCAGGGTTGGGGACAGAGACAGAGCTCTGTGTAGCGCTGGGCTCCCTGGGCCTCAGTTGCTCCTCTATGGCAGGAGGGATGGCCGGGTCTCCAGTGTGGGGACAGGCACGAGTGACAACCTGGGCCTGCCTCCTGCTGCATCGTGGAGTCTGCCATCTCCGCCAGCTGTGCAGCAGAGTGGCACTTCCATCCCTAGACTGGGATGGGCGGGGACACTGACCCTGTCCCGGGGCTGTCTACTCTGCAGGCACCTGGCCGCCCCAGGGCGAGTGCCCGCATGTCCCCTTCATCTGGGGGCTGTGTACCCCACTCCAGCTGGCTGGAAGCCTATTAATATTTCAGTTTGATGAATTAAAGATTCTTTTCTACCCTCCTCCTCCCAATGTCCCAGGAGGGGATTAAAAGCGCATCCAATCCAATCAGATGCCATTAAAATGCAGCCCACGAGGGCAGGCGCTGGCAGGTGTGGGCTTTTCTTCCCCAGCACTGCTTTGTCCTCTTTGGGGGGTCTGTGGGGTGGAGAGGCAGAGCTGGAGGAGGAGGAGGAGGCAGTGGCAGCAGCAGCTGTTTTTGTAAACGCTGCTACCTGAGGGCAGCGGGTCCAGTGGTGCTGGGGATTTGGGGACGGTACCTGCCCAGGGAGGGGGTGCCCTACTGCTGTGACCTCAGCCTGGGGTGGACCAAGACCCCCCCCCACACACACGCGACCGGACTGTTGTGGTCAGTCAGGCTTCCCTGGCTCCACGGAGGTGCTGGAGATGCCCTTCCAGCTCCACCAGAC